AAATTGATCCGTTAGCAATTGATTTAATAAAAGTTTAATTTCGAGATTTTGATTTAGTCGATTTAATTAAATTTTCAATCATGAGAAATTTTTTTAATTAATTTGAATATTTCGGTTAAATTGATCCTTTAGTAATTGATTTAATAAAAGTTTAATTTCGATTAGACTTTTTTTAACGATTAATTAACTTATAAATCAAATTTCGGTTTTATTTTTATCAAATAAACTTTTTCCCAGGAAAGCTTATTTTGAATTTATAAAGCTCCATAAATAGAATTTTTTTCGCAAAAATAATTTTATTTTTTCGATAAACAATTCTCGTAATTTTTATAAAATATGCAATACATTTTTATATTGATCAACTTTTATATAAATCGAACAATATTTTTCGTCATTTTGAAAGAAAGTTCTACTTTATTTACTAATTTTACTATTCTTCTGTTTATTAAAATCTCTATAAAGAATGAAACGATCTGGAAAAAAAAGTGTCAAAAAAAGTCGTCAAGAGTCTCACAAACAAACTTCTTCACAGGAATTTGTAAGTTCCGATTCTCCCAAACAAACGTCGATATCGAAACAACAATCTGCAGCTTCCGGTTCCAGTTCTACCAAAACTCAAAAACAAGCGTTGAAACAACAATCCGCAGCTTCCGGTTCCATTTCTACCAAAACTCAAAAACAAACATCGATACAGGAATCCGCAGCTTCCGGTTCCAGTTCTACCAAAACTCAAAAACAAGCGTCAAAACAGGAATCCGCAGCTTCCGGTTCCAGTACTACCAAAACTCAAAAACAAGCGTCGAAACAACAATCCGCAGCTTCCGGTTCCGGTACTACCAAAACTTAAAAACAAACGTCGATACAGGAATCCGCAGCTTCCAGTTCCAGTTCTACCAAAACTCAAAAACAAACGTCGATACAGGAATCTGCAGCTTCCGGTTCCGGTTCTACCAAAACTCAAAAACAAACGTCGATACCAGAAGCTTCGGAAGATAATGGGCCATTTCGCTTAGTGGTACCATCCAGCTTGTACTCACAACAAAGCAGGATGGTACCACCGATTCGTAATGTAACCGTACATAGGGAATTAATGCCCATTACACGCACAGCCGAACCATATAGGAGCAATGTACATAGGGAATTAACGCCCATTACACGCACAGGCGAACCGTATAGGAGCAATATACATAGGGAATTAACGCCCATTACACATACCACTGAACCGTATAGGAGCAATGTACGCACTGCCGAACCGTATAGGAGCAATGTACGCATCGCCGAACCATATAGGAGAGAATCAACGCCAATTATACGTGAACCTTATAGTAGTAATTGGACTAGAGATGTAAATGGTGAGCTACAATTGACTTTTGTATTCATTTTAGAGTTCTGGTCGACTTTAACATTTTTTTAGAAACGTATGATCTCCGAGAAGAAAATGCCTACTTACGGAGAAGAATCGACGAATTAAATCGGTGTAAACGGTCGAATATCAAGCATGAAAAGATGATAAAATTCAACTACCAAATGTAATTGCCAAATGTTAAGAACGAACAAATTAATTATGAATTGGCATAGATGGATAAATAATTAGCTGAAAAGGATAAACATTTAGGAAGAGTAATGATCTACATGATGTAATATTTGTTGAATGATTGACAAAGAACCAATAGGATAAATAGAGTCGATCAATTGCGGCTTAGCAATCTTTAACAACAATAAGAACGATTAGAAAGAATAATTATAAGCCACAAAAGATAGATTATAAGCAAAACACATAAAGCGGATTGAAAGAACATATAAAATAATGTCAGAAAGATTAAAGAACATAAGATAATATAAAAGAT